ATGCTTTCTTAAAATGCATAGGGCCAACTTGGAAAATTCACTTTCTTAATAACTTCACCAAAGTTTAGAAATTTTTTTCTAAAGATAGGTTATAACTTACAATACCAGAGTCATGTTTTCTTGTCTTTTGGATGCCACTAAATCACAGTTTAGTATCATCAAAGTATATTGAATTTTACATTGCTTACTTTACAGGCAAAAATTGTGAACATAATTCCTTTTCAATAGATACAAAATCTAATAGTAAACTACCCAAAAGGATGGATAATTTATATTGCTTCTTCCAACAAAAGAAGCAATAAAACTATGACTTATGAGAATAAGACCACATTGAGAAATTAAAAGAAATGAAACACTGGAAACCAATGAAAACAACACTAAATACAGTCAGAAAAACAGGAACCATATGAAGTTTACACCTCTACAGTTAAATAAATCTTGATAGGTATAAGGAATAAATACTTCACCAAAAATAATCCTTAATTAGAAAGTATAATGTTTTATAAAATAATATATGACTCCAGTGCATCTAAGATATATAAATAAGCATTTTAAAGCAGGTTAATAGGTTGTGCCCAAATATAGGGAAATATTTTATCTAAAAGCATTAGGATTGCTAAGACGTTTCTCAAGTTGGATCTAATGAAACTTTCTCTTGGTATCTAACTTATCAAATCCAGGTTCTTAAAGTATTTATTTCAGAATTATATTTCATTGTTTAATGATTTTTGTCTTTCCTAAGTTCAGATATTACTACATTTGGCAGTTCTGGGGTTATAAATATAAAACATGTTAACATCCTTTTGGCTTTGGATACCCATTAATGGTTTCCTTTGTTTAGGGAGAATTTGTTCATTCCCAAATTGGTAGGCTTCCCTCCAAACTCTATGGCTCTTCCATGGAATAAAGTAACTTTGTCTTGTTTCTATGTCTTTTACAGAGCTAAGAACAACTGAATTAATAAGTAACATGGCAAGAATAGACATGACCCTAACGAATGGCAAAATCATTACTTTAAAATTGATTCCATTTTTAAATTTTGTAGTAATAAAAAGAAGAGATAACATTACTACTCTTGTAAAGTTGTGAGAAACCAATAATGAGTAATTCTACATTTGTTGGCTAACGGTATGGCACAATCAAACATTTATCAAAACAAAAATGAGATCCATATGCATACAAAATCAACTCTTTATCGTAAGCATCATTAGAAACTATAGAGCCCCAAATGAACTCTTGAGGGTAAGGCTCTTAAAATAAAGAATAACATTTTAAGTGCATAGCTATTACAAACTCATTTGATATTCATTTTAATTGCCATGACTATAATGAATATACTTTATATTCAAACAGATGTCATAAGTACTGCAGAAGTTCCAATATAATTCAGTCTTAGTTAAGAACGAGTAAATGGATATTTAAAATTGAATGTTACCAGGAAGGAGAAAAAAAAATCCCAATTACAGCAAACATTAGCTCCTTAAAACAACAAATTAAAGATTTTATTAAATTGTGTTCTTTCTTATTTGGACATACACAGAACACAATCATACAGAAACACTTGCTGTCAACTACTCCTTTTCCTTGCTTCAGCTGTTCTACAGATTAGCTAGCCTGGGAAACAGAAATTGGGAGCATGAAGAATGACTCAGAAGTGAAGGCTGCTGTATAACATTTAGAGACTTGTCTATGAAAAGGATTAATAAATACTACAATGCCAATCTAGGTTAGCTGAAGGAGCAGATGATTATGTATGCCATTTTCTTTTAATTGGCCAGACAAGTTCTAATATTCCCTTTAATCTTCTCCAACATGGAGAATTGAAATCTTAAAGTCTAATATGAGAGACCTTTACACCATAAATTAAAGATGGCGTTTCTTAGTGTTTGGATCACAGAACTACCCACAGATGGTTTTTTAAAAGCAAACATTCCTGGGCCCCAACCAAGTTCTATCAAATGAGAGTTCCAAGAGTGTGGCCCTGGAATCAGCATTTTGACAAACTGAACTTGTTTAAAACAACTGCCTGAAGGTAGGATGAGGTAATACTTAAAATTATATATTCTCATTTCATTCCAATCAGCATTTATTAAGTACTAATCTTTTGTGAGTGAAAATTATTTTTATATATATGTACATACAGGCAAGCAGCATATGATAAACTTATTTTCAAAGTACAATCTATTAAGTACAATAATCATCTACAAAGGTCTGGAAACACAATGTCTGGAATCACAAGAAAATAATCTGCTACTGTGCAGATTAACAATTAACTCTTGATTTTAATTTAGTATTTATTTCCCCTGAAAAGGCGTCTGGAGGTTGACAAAAAGTATGTTTAGCTTATTATTAGAAAATGTAACTGAAATAGTGTTTAAAAAATTTATCCTATTTTTCCTGATGTTTTAGAAACCCTCTGGTTTTGAAAAGGAGCATAGTAAGTGTGTGAGGCTGAGGCCTCTTAGTGGCTGCAGGGAGGAGACAGGGGGCTTCCGGGAGGGAAGAGGGAAGGAATGAAAAACAAGACCAGCACCAGAGGCAAACTCTCCTGCTTACTTCCAACCTAATTCTCCTAGCGCCCAAACTGTAAACTGAACTTATTTAAAAGTCACACTGTGTTTTGTAACCACCAGAGCAAAATTCAAAAAGCAAAAGTTGACTTTGGAGTCAAAGAGAAGAATGGAAGAAAATAAAGCTGATGGTACCAAGCCACTTGTCTGGTCAGCAGTTTGCCCCCATCCTCACCCACACCCACACCCCTCAGGACTGAAGACTAATTGACTGAGATCTTTGGAATGCACCTCAATAAAGAGCATTCACTCATGAAACTCAGCGCCGACAAGCTGACAGAAGTTGTTAATTGCACCCAGTGCCCTGTATTTTCTATCATCCTTGGTTGACTTTTCCCGGCACTGAAAGCAGGATCTAGTAAAAAAGGCGATGGTAAGTGCAAGTGCAGGGAAGAACAGTTGGGCTGTAGGGACTTGGAAGGCTTCCCATGGCCCACAGCAGTGGCTTTCAAAGAGCGGTCTCTAACCCAGCAATGTTGTCATTGCCTGGGAACTCAGGTTATTAATGCACTCAGGCTGCTATAACAAAATACCACAGCTGGGGGGCTTAAACAACACACATTTGTTTTCTCATGGTTCTGGAGGCTGTTAAGTCCAAGATCACGTTGCTAGACATCTTGGCTTCTGGTGAGGGCTCTCGTCATGGCCTGCAGATGGCTGCCTTCTCACTGTGTCCACATGTGGGAGAGAGAAAGAACTCGCTTTCCCTCTTTTTATAAGGCCACCAATCTCACCAGCTTTATGAACTCATTTAACCTTATTTACCTACTAAAAGCCCTATCTCAAATTCAGTCACATTGGGGGTTAGGATTTCATCATACAAATTTTGGAAGGACACAATTCAGTCCATTGGACTCATTACATATGCAAATTCTTGAGCCCCACCTCAGCCCTAGTGAATCAGAAACTTGGGGACTGGGGCTCAGCAATTTGTGCGTTATTAATGTCCCAGGTTATTCCAATGCCTGCCGAAGTCTGAGAAGCACCAGCCTTCAGGGAAAAAAATCCCAGGTCCACAGTGGAACACTTAGTTCATGCACCCCCCAGCACACCCTTCCGCCCCCAGTTTCTCCCATGTGTTTTCCAACCTTATTTCTTCTTATTGTTACTGAACTCTGCTTTTGCTGAGCTACTTCTCACCATGACCTGACGGATCATTCACATTCTGTCTTCTGGACTTTTGCTTACCCTCCTTCAACATCCTCAAATCGTCTTTCTGCCTCTAAGCACCACCTCAGTGTCTGAACCAATCATGTCCACAATTTACAGATTTTACTTTCTTAGAGTCCATAGGTTATACTCATCTATAATTTCAGCACAAGTCTTTGCACATTAAAAAAAACACTCAAATCTTTAAAATATTGTATGTTTTTTATAACTCTTCTTTGTAAGTATTCCACACAATACTGCCTCCAATCCAACACTGATTTGGGGCAGCAAATAGCCCGTTGGTCTGTGATGTAGCACGATGGCACTTCTAAAGTTACTTAATATTAAGAATAATCAATACACTATTTGCTATTTGTGAAGTCCTTAAATGCATCAAACACTATAGTAAGCATTTAGTGCATGACCCTATGAAATTCTCACTCACCTGCAGTAGGCATTATGATCCCTATTTGAATGAAAAAGACATGGGATACTGAGGCTTAAGAGTTCAATTAATTCACCAAAGTCACACCTGGAGAGCGGCAAGGCTGAAAAGTGTGAACATTTGTTTCTCTGACTCAGAGCACATGCTTTATTTCTACTCTGTTATACTATAGACTGAGGGATTTAGTTTTCTGTCAACATCTTGAATCTGCTGCCAAGAACCCCAAAGCATATGGATTTCTTGGAAAAGATATTTCTAATGTATCCTTTGGAAACTCTTTATTTTCTATACCTCCCCCCCCCACACACACACATCCTGAGGCATCGTTAAAAGGAAGCCATCATGAAAAAAAAATTAGGTTGAACTTCTTGAGACAAGCAGATACTGTTAAATGACTACAGACAATAAAGAGCTCTAAATTTTATCGCTATTCTACAAGTTATTTACCTCGGGCAGCCTTTAGAATGCTTTCAGCTTTACGTTAAAGACAGCTGAAGAACTCAGAAGGCATTACCTGGAAGTTCACAAGAGGCGCTGATACACTTTTGCCCAAAGCAATTACTGATAATTAAGCACCAGAAACACTCATACACACGTATATGCACGTAAAATTGAAAAATCTGTAAGTTGAAAACAAAGGAATTTTTTTCTGAAAACTGTACTTTTTCAGTTTCATTCCCCAGAAAACCAACCAAGGGATGTTTTACTTTTTTCACAGCTGCCTGCACTTTGGAGACTTTGCTGTAAGATAATAAGTCACACCTGTTGGATTGTTTAGACCATTCCAAGCACCAGCTGAGATAGTAATTAAAAGTAACACTCTATTCTCAGCCTACCTGGTGTGTTCAACAACCTCGACATCTTGCAGAAATAGGAGACGTACTGCTCACAGTGCTCGGCGCTGCTGGTGACGGCGCTGATCTGGTCCATGGAGGCGCTGTACACGAGCTGCGTCACAGAGTACTTTTCTGGGCTGTAGCCCACCACTGTGGTCTGCATCTGCAAATTGTGAGACACTATGGTCCACACTTTGTCCTCTGTGGGGAGAAAAATACCACGAAATGGGGCATTAGGATGCAAGGACTTCTTTAAGTGGTAGAAAATAACTGAGCTGCACTTTCTCTGAACTGATGTAGAACAAAGTTAAGGATCGCCATCCTTCAAGCTCTATCCTGCAGGTTCTCCTTATATAGACAAAGTAGAAAGAAATGCTTTTTATTAAGAAGAAATGCAAGGGGGCTCCTGGGTGGCTCAGTTGGTTAAGCGACTGCCTTCGGCTCAGGTCATGATCCTGGAGTCCCTGGATCGAATCCTGCATCCGGCTCCCTGCTTGGCGGGGAGCCTGCTTCTCCCTCTGACCCTCCCCCCTCTCATGTGCTCTCTCCCTCATTCTCTCTGTCTCAAATAAATAAGTA